GGATGGGGGCTTGTCTGAGAGTGAGAAGGGGCTTTTCCACTCTGAGAGTGAGGGATCATTTTTCAAGACGGGTTGCAAGTTGTGGATAATGCGTTGGAGGGGTTTGAGTTGTGGGCTGTAGGTAATAACAAGTGGAATTCTGTTATCCTCACTTTTGGGTCTGTCTTAAGTAGTTCATATCTGGGTACTTCTTTGGCTCTGTCAATGTGTTTTTTCACTTCTCCAGGCGGGTATTTTGGATTTAGGAATGCCCCATAAAGACAGTTCTCAAACTATAGTATACAGCCGAGCTGCAGGAGCTGAACTCTCCATCCATCTCCTCTGCAGGGCACAGACGACTGTGGGTCCCTCTGACGGGGTCGGTGCTGTCACTCTAAATAGCTCTTTTGAGCTTCTCCAGGTTGTCCAGCACCACCCATTCTGGCCTCCAGATCAAAACTGAGCTGAATCAGTCCCCGAAGTGGCCCTGTGTTTTACTAGAAATACGCAGGTAAACTAATATCTTTAGATTTTCCTTTTACAAATACCATCGCTTTATAGAATACTATGACAAGCTAACATACAACTAGCAGATGTGATTATGTAGAAGCCAGATCTCATGATGCTAGAATATCATTTGAGGAAATGAGATTAAGTATAATATTAATATACCAAAAGGGAATCCTAGCTAGACCTCACTGTTTGGCTAGCAAGTATAGGTCACATTACAGGTTGTACCTCCCTTAACTGGAACTCTCTGGTCCAGCAACGTCCATGGCCCGACACTAACAACAGATGTTCCTGGGCCACAGAACCCAGGAACAAGGAGTTCTGATGGTGGGGCAGGAGTGCCATGGGGGTCACTGGTGACTCAGCTTGGAGCCCCAGTCTGTGTGTTTGGGGGAAAAAATGGCACAGTGGGGAGTTCTCACTCCATCAGTGGCTGTGGAGCTCCAGCCCTAGCAGTGGCCAGGGAACTCTTGCCTTAGACACAGAGTTCCAGCCCTGGCTGTGCAGCTCTGGCTCAGCCACAGAGCCAGGTGGCTGTGGAGCTCTCCCTTGGCCACGGAGCCCTGTCCCCAGCCAAGGAGCCAGGCAGCTGCAGAGTTCTGCCCCAACTGTGGATCTCCGGCTGCAGTGCTTCAGTCTCAGGAGCACCAGAGCTAGAGGCATCTAGAGAGCCCCCGGGGACTGGGGCAACAGCAGAGGCAGGCTAGAACCCTAACCCAGTGAGGTCCAACCTGTAGTATTCCAGACTCCATAGTTCTCTTTGCCCTGGAGTAACTAGATGCCCCTGCTAAACCAGCGGTCGTAATAACAACCATAGATTTACCATCTGCCACCTTTCTAGGCAAATAAAGATTTAATGCCTAAGATGGATTTTCAATTTCTATCCTGGGTTCTGCCACAAGTGTCTGTATATTATTATTGTCTTTACATTTTTCCATTTATAAAGCAAGAGTGCAACAGACTTCTGAAATTCTGCATTTTGCACTAATTCCCATCAGTTCCCTGTAATCTGTGTGCTTGTGCAGCTACTCAGACAGTCATATACTGTCCTGCTGGTTAGCAGAATGCCCACAGATAAGTATTTTTTTCTCCTGGTGGGTACATTTGCAAATGCCTGAGTGAACATAAAAATGATTCTGCATATGGATGGAAAGAATCTGCAAATGGATGAAAAAGATTAAGGAGAACGATTCCTGGGCAGCAAATATAGTACCATTACACTATCCTTCCTGACTGTGTTGTCCCTTTGCATTTGGATCATTCTGCTTACTTTCCCAAGGCATACAGGAACTAAAGGATTCAATGAAACTGTGATATGGACTGCTAGGGAAGCTCCGATCAGAAAGTATTTTGCCAATGACACTTGGAATAGACAAGACAAGTGATTGCAGAAAACAGGTCCAGTTCTGCATCCCTTTGTGCTCTAGTTTTACATGATATCTGTAAAACTAGACATGCATCTGATGAAGTGGGTCTTTGCCCACGAAAGCTTATGCTCCAACACTTCAGTTAGTCTATAAGGTGCCACAGGACTCCTCGCCGTTTTTGCATGATATCTGTGTGTGGGCAATTGTAGAGATTTGTGACTGTTACGTGAACTAGCTTCTGAGCTACCTATACGCAGTATATTTTGAGGACTATCTTTTGGCCAACAGAAGGTTCTTGTAGGCCTTTGCCCCCATGCCATGGATTGTCTGTTACAATATCTATTGCTGAAATAGATAAATAAGATTCCAACATCAAAGACAAACAAACAAAAAAAGATCAGCAACCTAAATGCCTGTACATCTGCTAAAATATTGTGTCATACAAAAGGCCCATCTTTTTTTTCCCAAAAGAAAAATCATTAAGCAAAAAAATCAGACATTCTGCCTCCAAATCTCAATTTCTCTCGTTTGTGTTCCTTATCAAGTATCAAATTAAGGCCAGGTCTTTGTAACCTGCCCCTAAAGATTAGAAATGTTATCTGTTTCAGACTATGTAAAGAATGTGTTCAGTGGGTAAAGGGCACCTCAGGTCTAGCATATGGCTTCAGGTTTGTCAAATTGTTAATTCATTCTGGCCTGGTTTCCCCCTAGTTTGGTAAGTGAGGGTATGTCTACACTACCCCACTAGTTCGAACTAGCAGGGTAATGTAGGCATACCGCACTTGCAAATGAAGCCCGGGATTTGAATTTCCCGGGCTTCATTTGCATAAGCGGGGCGCCGCCATTTTTAAAACCCCGCTGGTTCGAACCCCGTGCAGCGCGGCTACACGGGGCTCGAACTAGGTAGTTCGGACTAGGCTTCCTATTCCGAACTACCGGTACACTTCGTGGTACACCTAGGCCCTGTCTCTGTGAGCAGTGACCCACTTGGAAAAGTAGATGGAAAACTAGATTGAAAGCAGGGTGCCAGGTTAGTGTCTGGACTTCTTCCTTCCTGATTAGCTATGGGGAGCAAGGGAATTCCATAGCCACCGTGAGCAGGGGAGACTCACCCAGCCAGCCCTTTGTCTTTGTTAAGATGGAGAGTTCACTATTTAAACCCACAGGGCAATGGGGGAAAGGCAAGACTTGTGTTGCCAAGGAAGGCTGCAGCTTTTTAAATCAAAAAGCCCAAAACTGTCAGAGTGCACTTGCTGCGGGTTTGATCCCATTGCTGATCTCAACTGTTGCAACCATTGTACTGCTGGTACTAAGAATCGAAACGACGTCCAATGTGTACGATCTGGTGCCAAACCCTGGAAACTATTAAGAAATGTACCCAAGGGCACACAGTATGTTCCAAAGCCTTGTGATACGGGTATTTCACTGTTGATACCTGTACTTGGCTTTAGAGCTTCTCACCTGAGAAGGGGCATTCCAGAATTGGGTTGCTGTGTGTAAAAGGGAAACTGAGGCACGAGTCCGTTGTGTTTTCGTGGCTAAGAGCCAAGATGCCTACACTATGGGGAATAAGGATACATACATTATATCAGCGTTAATTAGACTTCAGGCCACTGACGAAGCTGACATGGATACATTTAATTTCTTTGGCTCTGAGCAAGGGCATTGCTGTACCCACTAATGGGTGTGGGGTCCAAATGCTGTGAAAAGGGGCCCGTGTAAGGTGTCTAATGAACGCTTGTACTCTGCTGATTCTACAGATGATGCGTGTGCACTTCTGTGGGTTTTGTATATGCAGTTATGGAATGGACTTTGTTCTCGTACGTTAACATTTTTCTGTCTGGAAGGACTACGTGGGCATGGACTGCCTGCTGCTTATTCAATAAATGGCTATGCTACGGAGCACCATGAACAATGACCGGAGGCCTCCATCTGGGAGACTGCAAAGCAGCTTGGATGTGACCAGCTCCAGCTGGAAGACACAAGGAAGATCAAAGGGCCCTCTGAGGCTGACACTGAAGACGGTTAAGCGAGCAGTTTGTGCTTCTTTGCTAACCGCCTGCATCCAGCACTCGCTGACTGACCTACGAGGGGATCTCATTAACAAGCTGACTCTCAAGTTAATTTTTGTGTGTCCTGGTTTTTACTGTAGGGCTGAGATTTCCCACGTGACCTCTCCCCTGGCTTTCTTATCATTCCTTGGGTGGTGGCAGTGGATTTTTATTCCCCAACGTCTAGGTTTTAAGATTTTGGGGGGAAGTTTTCCCTGTCGCCCAGAGTGGGGCTGAGTAGCTGGGCTGTCAGGAGGTGAGACCCAAAGCCAAGGGCATTTCCCGACAGCAGGCTGGCTGGAGAGAAGGGCTGGATCTCACGTCGGGCTGAGCAGGGAACTGGGCACAGCTCCCAGGAGCCACTGGGAGCTGCCAGGTCAGCGCCTCAGCTGAGTCCTGGCGGTTTAATGGGGTGGGGCCATCGCAACGATGCTTTCAAAGTGGGGCAGGTGGGCACAGAGAATCTCCCCTGAGCATGGGGCTCTCCAGGTGCCATGTCAAGACCTGCTCCCCCATCCCTGCAGCTGCCGCAGGGCGCACACCTGGGGAAAGGCAGGATCTGAAGTCCTGGAACCTCCAGACATTGGAAACAGCTTGTCGGGGTCACAGGCCATTGGAATGAGTTTCAGCTGCTCTCAAGCGCCTGCAGACTGAGCCAGGCACCGGCCCCAGGCACAATACGGGCAAGGTCCAGACAACGTCACAGTGACTCATGGCCAGCCCTGCCCCCGCTGCCGGGCCCTGCGGTGGGATCCGGCCAAACGAGGCTGGTACCACTGCAATTGTTCAGGGGCTTTGCTGGGCGGTGCCTGTACCCTGCAGCCTGAGCCGTACGTAGCGCACTCGCAGTCACGACAAACAGGAATTCCCAGGCTTGGGCGGCATGTGCCCCATGGGATCTCTCAGCCCACAGCACTGCCCCGATAGTCACTGCACCAAGGGTGTGCCCGGCAAGTCCTCCCGCCTGCCCTGTGCAGATAAGGGCAATTGCAGGCTGTCAGCAAGGCTGAGATCCTAGGAGCTGTGAGCGACTATTTCGGATGATGTCATAAAGCAGGCGGGTTCTCCGCACCCTATATATCACGGGGCTCCGTCTGGGGGGTTTACGGAGGGAGCAGAGCACCGAGAGCCCAGTGCAGACCAGACAGCCGCCTCGCCATGAAGATCTCAGGGGCCGTTCTGCTCTTCGCTCTGGCCCTTTGCTGCTCCTACTCGGGTGAGTCAGTGAACCCTGTTCTGATACCTCTGCACCTGGAGGGACGGGGTCGGACTCACGTGGATCTGTATGGGGGTTCCCACCCCCACATCCACCGTGGCTGATTCCAGGAGCAGCCGGTTTATTTCCGAGGCTGCGTCTAGACTGCAGGCTTCTTTCGGCAGAACCGTTTTTCGGAAGAGATCTTCCAAAGAAACTTCTTCCACAGGAAACTTCTGTCCATACACAGCAGCACATTGAAAAAGCGATGTGCTGTTTCGAAAGAGAGCATCCACGTAGAATGGACACTGTCTCACGTGTACGCTGTCATTGCTCTGGACGGAAGGGCCACCAGTGCCCCTGTGCTTTTCCCTCTTTCCTCTTCTTTCGAAAGAACTCCCCCTTCCCCGTCCACACGGGCCGGTTTGCGAAAGCCTCTTTTGGGAAAAGGCTCCTTTCGATTTAATTTCAGAAAACACGATTGCAGCGTGGACGTAACTGGAGCTTTTTCAGAAAAACGCTGTAGGGCAGACAGAGCCTGAGATGTCCCTGCACTGTCCTGAGATGGAGCAGCAGGCTGGTTCCATGAGCTCTGACTGCCCGGACCCGATCCCACGGCTCTGAAGGGCTGTTCCGGGGGTTCTCTCTGCCTGGGAGATCCCTGACTGCCAGTAACTGAGACAGCTCAGAAGGTTCCCAGCTCCTACAAATCCAATGTCCCTGTGATCCCCTTGGCTGCTCAATTTCTTCTCAGCTACGGTTCTCGCCCAGGAAAAGTTTCTTCTTAGCTCCTGTCCTTAGGTGTTGCTCCATGTGCTGAAGTAATTCAAGTCCATGATCCTTAATTGGCATGACAGGCTCTGCAGTGGTGCCAAGGTAGAAGCAGGAGGGTTTAGATCCTTCCCAGACAGTTACTGCTCTTTTAATTCCACTGCTGGAGACCTTCTGACCCACAGCCGCTTCATGCAGAAAATTCTCCCCTGGGGACACTGGGCAGAGGTTTGTTAAGGAACAGAGACAGATGTTTGGGGTGAAATGTCTCATTACACTTGTGGGATTGCTGATGTCATTTTTGCAAAGGCTTAATTCAGAAGACACTGAAATGAAGGAGACAGGTCGGAGCCAGTCCCCTGGGTAATTCTGGCCGCTAGCAGGAGTGTTGTGGGCAAGACACTTCCTCCCAGGACTTCCTGGGCCAGTTAGGGAGCTGCATGCCGTGTCCTACACAGGGGTGAACGCTTTTCACTGACTTTCCCGCCAACGTTCCCTTCACTGATTCCGGTCTGTCTGGGTTTTGTTCCAGATGCTGCTGACAACCCTGGTGAGGTAAGTTGATCCCCCCTGTTCGTTAACTGTCTCTGGTGTGAAGCATCTCAGGCACAGTCTCTGGCGTAGAAACAGGCGAGAACTCATGAGTCAAAGCAGGAGCAGAGTCCGACTGAGCAGAGACTGAATCTCAGGCACTGAGCACCTCTGGGAACAGCGACACTGCAACAGAACACCAGTGTCTCCGCTGACTCAGGCTCATGGGTCGTGCGCTACAGGGCTAAAGATCGGTGCGAGATGTTTGGGCTCTGGGACCCTCTCGGGTACCACAGCTCGGGTTGAACACATGTGTCTACATGGCAGTGTATTCCATGCACTGTTGTATATGGCAGTCAGGGATGGGTCTGTGAGAGAGAACGGAGGAGGGGACATTCCCACACGTGTGATGGTTTTTCTGTCTGAGCATCACCTGTCAGCACACAGGGCCCTTCGTGCACACAACATGTGATTTCTACTCTCTGCACCCCCACCCTCCCCCAGGCTCCTGGGTCTTGTGCTACAGGGTGAAAGATCGACATAAGATGGTTGAGCTCAGGGACCCTCTCAGGGTGAACGCACGTGTCTACATGGGAGTGAGTAGACGGAAGCCACGTGGTCGAGGGAGGGATCCCATGCACTGTTGTACAGGGCAGTTGGGGATGGGCCTGTGGGAAGAGCAGGGATCAACAATAAGACAGAGCAGAGGAGGGGACGGTCCCACAGGAGCATCAAGGTTTGTATGTGTGAGAATCAGCTGTCAGCCGAGATGCCCCTGCGCTCACACACCGTGTGCTGTGGGGGCTGCAGTGTCTCTTGCACCAGGGAGACGGGCTCAGCTCCTCTTGGCAGCGAGAGGGGATCTGGGCAGTGAGTCCAAAGACCAGCAGAGACGGGGGACAGGGTGACATACTGCGAACTCTCAGGGATAGAGACTGTCCCTTCCCCTGTGTTCAGAGGATGCCCAGCCCCGTCGGGGGGATGGGGGAGCGTCCTTGATCATTTATGCCATAGCAAACTCCATAGGCTACATAGCAGAAAGAACTTGATGAGAGAAATTGGTGTCATGGTGGCAATGGCAACACATCAGTCTCTCCTGTTCTCAACCTGTGGCACACAACACTTGAGTTTGCCAAGGATTGTAATGCTTTAGACCAGTGGTCTCCAACCTTTTTACACCCACGATCACTTTTTAAATGACAGACCAAGCCAAGATCTACCGCCCTGCCCCTTCCTTGAATCCCCGCCCCTTCCATGAAGCCCCGCCCTCTCTATTCTCCTCCTCTCCATCACTTGCTATCCCCAATCCTTATACTGCTACTTTTAAAAAAAAATCCCACCATTCCTCACAGCTACTCACCAGTGCTGTTGCTCGGAGTCCAAAGACCAGCAGAGACGGGGGACAGGGTTACATACCGCGAACTCTCAGGGATAGAGACTGTCCCTTCCCTGTGTTCAGAGAATGCCCCACCCTGTGGGGGGGAGGGAGTGGGGGTGTGACGGCGCGTTGGGGTTTTCCAGTCTTCTGCATCCCCGTAATGGCACGGACAGACTCCGCCAGCCAGTAGAACAGAGGGAGTTTATTGCTTCTCCAGGATACAGCACAGTAATCTGGTTCCGGGGCAGGCCTAGGATGCCTCAGGCTGTCTCCTCCATGCTCTTCCAGCCCTGCCCCCAGCCAGGGGCGGCAGTCCACCTTCCTTTGTTTCTCTCCCTGGGGGATAGCTGGTTGGACAGGTTGAGAGACCCTTGCCTAGTGACTCATCCTCTGTCCTGCTGGGCCGTGCTACAGACAGCAGCCAGTGGAGGTCACCCACCGCCCACTGCCCAGCATAGCAACCAGCAAGGTACCCCCCACTATGTCACAAGGGGATAGCCAACAATGCAGACAATAACGCTAAGAGCAATTCTAATGATCTCTGCAGGGTTACTGCAATGAGTACACGGAGCCGCCCGGAGGCTGCCCACGGATACTCGACCCCGTTTGTGGCACTGATGGCAACACGTACAGCAACAAATGCGAGTTTTGTGCTGCAGTCTTGTAAGTAACAGAATAAACGGCCCCTTTTATACAAACTAAAATACAATTGTGATGTCACTCAAGCCCTTTCCTGCACCCATCAGTCTGTATCTCCTAGAGCCTGGGGCAAGTGTCTGAAGAATTGTTGCTGCCAGCCAAAGGGCTCTGGTCATTTGATGTAATGGGGCCGTGACAGAAGCTTGCTCTGATTGGCCAGAAGGGTTGCAGCACTAAGTTCTGTGTGTCTGTCTTTTCCCTTAGCATGAAGCTTGGAAGTCTTTGCTTTCTCCACGAAGGAAAATGCCAGACACGTGACAGAACTGGGCACTAACTTTAGGAACTTGAGCTGCTAGTTCCCACTAGTGGATCCACATTCTCCTCTCAGCCTCCATTCCCAGGGCTCCTGACAGCATCGCTGACTCCCCACCTGTCTCTGCAATAAAGGAAACTCAGAGCCATTCCTGCCCTCGGTGGTTTTTCCCCCTCTCAAAGGACAGACTCCGCTCAGCAGGGTATCAAAAAAATTCCCTCCAGCTTACAGACCGGCGTCGAGCGGAACAGAAAATGCAACGCCTGGTCACCTACACTAAGGGAGTCCCAGACTGGCCACCGCTGTATCACCTCCTGCCGTGGCTTTTCCCACAAAACAACCCAAACTGAGCCCCCAGACACATTCCCTGTGTCCGACTCCTTCCCATTTAGACTTGTTATCAGTGGACCTCATCCTGAGACCATGAGCAGCGCCCCAGGGAAAGGCTGGGAGAACAAGCAGGGGTGCGGTGTTAGAGAATCAACCACCCAAAGCTTGTCTCAGGGATACCTGTCAGGGTGGGGAATGTAAAGGGCTTCTCCTTCTCCCTCCCTGATACGTGGGGGGCCCTGTGGATTCAGGCTGTGGGCTGCCGCTCTGCCCAGTAAGTTGCCCCCCACGTTCCTCCCCAAACGCAGCAACCTGTCAAATGTGTTTGGTCCTCAGCAAACCTCTGGGCTGCCCTGGGGGAGCTGGGCCACCTCTGACCCTGCTGTGAAGTGGTGCCACGTCCCCGTGATACGGGAGAGTCTGGAGCGGGGAGACGTCACAGCCAAGTGCCTGGAGATGGGACAGATGCTTCGAGTGCCTGGGATGGTCGGGAGATTGCTTCTGTGCATGTGTCCCTGTAGCCCACCAGGCCCTGGGAGAGGAACTTTTCCCACTGGGTCAGAGGGCAGCAACTGTGTCTCGCTGCACCCAGCTCAGTCTCTCCTAGGGAGTCAGCTATCCCGGGCTCTGGCTTATGGTCAGGCCAAGCCAACAATGATCCGGTCCCAGGCCATGCTCAGGGTGGGGAGGCAGAGTCCTGAGGTACCAGGCTGCAGAGGCTCATGCCTTAACCGTGAGACCACTGGGACCCACCCCACACCCCTCCCTTCTGCTGATGCCTGAGTCCTGGGGAGGCTGGTGGTGGCTGCCCCGCTGCTCCCTAACCAGGTTTGGGGCGGGGGGGGGCAGCAAAGAGACTGAGGGGACTGGTCTAGGCCCGGGTTTGGGGACAGGGGGAGAGCAAACACACAGTCCTGAGGGACCAGCCCAAGCCCTGGCTGAGGGCGCAACAGACAGACAGTCCGGAGGTACCAGTCCAGGTGCTGGCTGGGGGCCTGGCAGTACTTCCTAGTGCCTGGGGGTCTGTCTACACTACAAAGTTAATTCGAACTAACAGCCATTAGTTCGAATTAACTTTCATAGGAGCTACACACGCGAACCGCTGGTTTGAACTTAATTCGAACTAGGGAAACCTCATTCTACGAGGACTAACGCCTAGTTCGAATCAAGTAGTTCCAATTAAGGGCTGTGTAGCCACTTAATTCGAACTAGTGGGAGGCTAGTCCTCCGCAGCTTGCCCTGGTGGCCACTCTGGGCACCACCAGGGAAACTCGTCTGCCCCCCTCCCGGTCCCGGAGCCCTTAAAGGGGCACGGTCTGGCTACGGTGCCCGTGCCAGGTGCAAGCCTGCCAGCACCCAGCCAGCAGACCTGCACCTGGCACGGCACGAGTCAGCCACCCGCTGCCACCCAGCCCTCTGCCTCTTCCTGGGGCCAAGGTGGCAGCTCCCAGGAGCCTGCCTGGGGCTGGGGCAGAGATCGTGGACCGCATCCAGGTTTGGGGGGAGGCCTCCAACGTCCACAACCTCCGCACTAGGCACAGGAAAGTGGCCGTCTAGGGCAGGAGAGCTGCCAGCCTGGCCACCAAAGGCCACATGTGAACCCAGGAGCAGGTTTGCATGAAAATCAAGGTGGTCCAGTGAGACCCCTGACCCTGAGCCCTGAGCTTAGAACATAAGAACATAAGAATGGCTGTACTGGGTCAGACTAAAGGTCCATCTAGCCCAGTAGCCTGTCTGCCGACAGCGGCCTACACTAGGTACCCTGGAGGGGATGGACTAAAGACAATGACCAAGCCATTTGTCTCGTGCCATCCATCTCCAGCCTTCCACAAACAGAGGCCAGGGACACCATTTCTACCCCCTGGCTAATAGCACTCCATGGACCCAACCTCTATGACTTGATCTCACTTCTCTTTAAACTCTGTTATAGTTCTAGCCTTCACAGCCTCCTGTGGCAAGGAGTTCCACAGGTTGACTATGTGCTTTGTGAAGAAGAACTTTCTGTTATTAGTTTAAAACCTGCTACCCATTCATTTCATTTGGTGTCCTCTAGTCCTTATATTATGGGAACTAATGAAGAACTTTTCTTTATGCACCCTCTCCACACCACTCATGATTTTATGGACCTGTATCATATACCCCCTTAGTCTCCTCTTTTCTAAGCTGAAAAGTCCCAGTCTCTTTAGCCTCTCTTCATATGGGACCTGTTCCAAACCCCTGATCATTTTAGTTGCCCTTTTCGGAACCCTTTCCAAGGCCAAAACATCTTTTCTGGGTTGAAGAGATCACATCTGTACACAGTACTGAAGATATGGCGTACCATAGTTTGATACTTCCCCTCCTCCTTCTTCCCCTGGCTTCCCCCCCTCAGCTCCATCCTCCCAGGTTTCCTCCTCCCCTCTCCCACACTCTCCCCCTCTTCCGTCTCCTTTTCCCAGTCTCCCCAGAGGTTAATCCCCCCCAAGTTTTGTTAAATAAAGAGAGG